CTCTCCTCCATGTTTTCTGCTCTACAATTATAGGCATCCAGCAGGTTTTGCTTTGTTTCTGTCCTTGAAAGTTTTATTTGCATCTTTTATAAAACTCATGTCTTTAGAGTGATTTCAAAGTTGTTTCCAGATAGTTTAAAATTTATTGTGATGTGTTTTTATCATTAATGTTTTGAAGTCTTTGTTAGATAATTCCTGCATCTGTTTAATTTTGGCAGTGGCATGGTACAAGGAAACAGAATCTTCCAGACAGCTGGTCAGTTACTCATATGAACTCACAGCAAAGGTGACAGTGTGCACAAAGTCCTATGCAAACTCAAACCACACAAAATCCCAGCATAGACATGAGGAAGTGGGTAAGAAATCCCAAGCCAACCTGAGAAACAACTGGCAACCAATGGCTGCTGGAGGGAGAAGAGATAGTCTCTTTCAAGGATGGGATTCGGTAGGTTGACCAGGCTCCAGTGGTTGAACCCATACTGAAGGACATTTGGGGGCACAAATTAGATTCTATAGGCCTTATTGTATAGCTATAGAATACATTAAATTGGGCAGGGGGCAGTAAGGGAAGATGCAGATAGGATATGGGATTTAAATACTATCAGATTATATTGTAGGAAAATTGCAAAAATTCAATAAAAATGTTTTTTAAAAAACCCCAAAGAAATCAACTTTGTATGGAAAAAAAAATAGGACTCAGAGAATTTTGAGAAAGAGTAGTTGAAAGTCTCACCCCACCTAATTTCAAGACTTCCTGTGACACTATCATCATAGAATCAGTGTAGTATTGGCAAAAGTAAGAACAGACTGGGGTCACAATGAAGCTGGAAGTTCAGAAATAGGCCCCTTATTCAGTCTCAGTAAAGGGTAAAGATAGGCAGGGAAAAAGAACAGTCTTTCTAACAAATGTTGCTGTGACATTGCCTATTGTATCCAAATGTAAACTTTGACTCCTATCTTGTACCATATGCAATTTTTTTTCCAGATAAGGTTCCTGGGAGGCCCAGCTGGCCTGGAACTCACTATGTAGACCAGACTGGCCTCAATCTCATAGAGATCTGCCTGCCTCTGCCTT